GTATATTTATATATATGTGTGTGCGTAATAATGGTAATAATGTAATATACAATATATTAATATAAAATGTAAACATTAAAATATATTAAATATTAACATTAAAATATAAAGACGTTACATTTTAAATATTAAAATATTATTATAATTTTAATATTAAAGTAAACTAAAACTTTAATGAACTCTAAACATGAATTAAATAATAAAAACTACAACTAATACAAATAATAAGTCCTATTTTTATTACAATTAAATCAAATTTAATTTATTCATTACAAAAATGTGAGTGAAAACAGTGGCTTGTGGCCTTCAAGTATTTCAACACCATGAACACTTTCAGAGCTTTAAGTCCTTTGTTTGGATTAAAATAAAGTCAAATAAAGAACAAATCTGACCCTGAACCACATAAATATGAACCTCATACTGGTCAAAAGCTGAATAAATAATCTTTCCAGTGATGTATGGTTTGTTAGGATAGAACAATATTTGAAAATCTGGAATCTGAGGGTGCAAAAAAATCTAAATATTGAGAAAATCCCCAGCGACTTAACACTGCTTTTGTGCTGCAGGGACACAGATGACAAAGAATGAACTCCAGGAGAGTGAAGCGAGCACTAAAGCGGTGAGAGTGTGAAGGCACTGACCTGTCGGAGCGAGGCGGCGAAGGCCTCGTGGGAGCTGTTGAGTCGGGTCCTGAACTGAGAGCAGATGCTCTTGGCCAGTTTGGCGGCGCTCAGGCTCTCGATGGCGTCCTGCGCGACCTTGCGCTTCCACTCGGCCGAGACGGACGGAGGATTGACCCACGTGATGCGGTGGATGATCTGAGGAGAGACGAGCGTCAGCCGCCGCAGCTGACACGCCAGCGCAGGGCATTCTGGGTAACCTACCTGCTTGATCTGCTCCCAGAAGAGCCTGGTGACGGAGGAGCCCGAGTGGAAGGTCACCTCCACGTGATACGCTGCGTTCAGGATCTGAGCACACAGCAGAGATTGACCACAGCACTGAGAACCAACACGCCAGCGTCTGAGCCTGGCAGTGTTAAACAGTGCTGCATTCGACATGTAATTATATATCATTACAAAATTACAAATAATGAAATATTTACAAAATATGACAATTAAATATTACTGTATCCTACTATACTACTACTACTACTATATTCAAATTAATTCAACTTACTGTATATTACTACATATCTATATATATATAATTAAAAAATTATACAAAAACTTTATACTACTTAGCATACTGTATATTATATGTATATATATGAAATTAATTAATATACCAAGTTAATGAATATAAATGTTCACTGTATATTACTTAGATACTACATATAGAAAATTATTTTAATTGAATATTACCAAATATTATTTTTATCTTTAATTACTGTATATTACTTCATATACTGTAGATACGGTGTATTACTGTATTTTGCTTAAATATTATGTTATATATAATTATAAAGTTAAAATTAATTTAATATTACATATTGGCAAAATTGCAACAATTAAATATTAACTATTAAACATGCTGTATATTTCTTATATGCTTGATATTATAAATTGTACAATTATAAAATTAAAATTAATGAACTATGAAATATTAACAAAATATGAAAATTAAATATTAAACACTCTACTTAAACATGATAGTTAATTATAACATTAAAATTAATGAAAAAATAAATATTAACATAAAAAATGACAATTAATATTGCTGTATATTACATAACATACTGTATATTACGTATATATATATTTTTTGAAAAGCAATTAAATCAAAATTAAGTGTGTGTGTGTGTGTATGAGTGTGTGTGTGTGTGTGTGTGTGTGTGAGCGTGTGTGTGTGTGTGTGAGTGTGTGTGTGTGGGGTGTGTGTGTGTGTATGAGTGTGTGTGTGTGTGTGTGTGTTGCACCTGTTTGAGGTGGTTGGAGGTGACGTTGCTGGAGGACTCGGCTGTGTTCTTCTCTAGACTGCCCAGGCATCTCTCCAGTGTCCCCACGAAGCTCTCTCTCAGGTAGTCCACTGAGCTGGTCAGTTTATTAGCCACAGCCTGATTGAGTCGCACCACGATCAGGTCCTGGATCTGACTGATGCACATCTTAATGTCCTTCGAGCTCACCGGCTCACCGTTAGACGACATGATGATGTCTGAACACACACACACACACACACAGAGAGTCACGTTTGACCACAGCAGAACCCCCCACACACACACACACACACACACACACACACACACACACACAGAGAGTCACGTTTGACCACAGCAGAACCACACACACACACACACACACACACACGCTAGTAAAGGGGAAGTTAACATGCTGTAAGCTGCTTTTCGTGTCTGTCTCTTTAAATGCAAATGAGCTCCTGCCACGGTTGCTATGGCAACAACAAACAAACAATGAACTCTTATTTTGCCCATTAAAGCATGAACTAACAATGTAAACAAACACCTTCATGAAATCTACATGACTAACTGAAAAATAATTAAACATAAAAACAGACGCTAAATCAATAACATAATAGCAATCATTTAAGACTTTTTCTAATGATTTGACAAAATCTGTAAAACTAATAAAAAACAAAAGCTAAATTATCAATGATTTAAAATGATTAAAAGTTTTTTAATTAGAAAAAAAAACTAATGGCAGAATGAAAAAAATAGAAATAAAAGCTAAATTGACGGAAAATGTAATTTTGTTTTTCTGATGAAAAAACTCAAACTAAACTAAAAATAACGACGGAATCAAAATAAACTATATTGAAACAATAAAAAGTAAAAAGGTTTCTGCTAATGAAAACGACGACTGAACGCAAACTACACTAAAGTGAAACCGCACACTGGACGTAAATCCAGAGCGCACCCGAATGAACCGCGCGGCGAGGTTGACCTCTGACCTCTGACCTGTGAAGTGCAGGTTGGCGGCGTCCTCCAGCAGCTGCTCCTTCATGCCGCTCAGCGTCTCCACGATCATGTCCTTCATCTCCTCCTGCTTGCGGTTGGCGATGGCCATCAGAGAGCTGAAGAGCTCGCCCTCCTTCTCTCGAGTGTACTCCAGCCGCCGCGGCGTGATCTGAAGATCCCTCTGCATGTCGAACGCCTGCGCGACAAACGCTCGCCAACATTACTCAGCATTTCTAGATTGTAGCTTATCAAAAACACATGTTAGTTACTTGCTAATCATGCTAGAAACATGCTAACAACAGGCTAGTCACTTGCTAGTCATGCTAATAACATGCTAGTCACTTGCTAATCATGCCAACAACATGCGAATCATGCTATTCATGCTAGAAACATGCTAACAACAGGTTAGTCACTTGCTAGGCATGCTAATAAAATGCTAGTTACTTGCTAATCATGCTAACAACATGCTAGCAACATGTTAGTAACATACTAATCATGCTAGAAACATGCTAACGACATGCTAGTAACTTGCTAATCATGCTAGCGACATGCTATTAACTTGTTAATCATGCTAGTGAAATGCTAGCAAACATTCTAGTAACATGCTAATCATGCTAGAAACAGGCTAGTCACTTGCTAGCCATGCTAACAACATGCGAATCATGCTAGAAACAGGCTAGTCACTTGCTAATAATGCTAACAACACGCGAATCATGCTAGTAAAATGTTATTCATGATAGAAACATGCTAGTTACTTGGTAATCATGCTAACAAAATGCTAGCAACATGCTAACAAAATGTTAGCGACAGGCTATTAACTTGCTAATCATGTTAACGACATGCTATCAACATGCTAGTAACATGCTAATCATGCTAGAAACAGGCTAGTCACTTGCTAATCATGCTAACGACATGTTAGTCACTTGCTAATCATGCAAACAACATGTTAGTAACATGTTAATCATGCTAGAAAAATGCTAACAACATGCTAGTCACTTGCTAGCCATGTTAATAACATGCTAGTCACTTTGCTAATCATGCTAACAACATGCTAGTTACTTGTTAATCATGCTAGCAACATGCTATTAACATGCTAATCATGCCAGCAATATGCTAGTAACAGGCTAATCATGTTAAAAACATGCTAATCATGATAGAAACATGTTATCAACATCTATCGAATCTACCTACATTTCCAAACTTCAGGCTTTTACAGCTGCTTAACCTAAAGTTTGCCTTGACAAACTTTTTTATCTAGTTCATCTTAAAATCAGATGCAGCTCTTGATTTTAATAATGTTTTAGAAAGGACAATGAATATTGAATATAAAAATGACTAATGATTTAAACCTTAATTGTTTTTCAAATTAAAAAAAAACTAAAACTTGTCATCTGTGTCCCTGCAGCACAGAAGCAGTGTTAAGTCGCTGGGGGATATTTGTAGCAATAGCCAACAATACATTGTATGGGACACAATTATACATTTCTCTTTTATGCCAAAAATCATTAGGATATTAAGTAAAGATCATGTTCCATGAAGATATTTTGTAAATTTCCTACCATAAATATATCAAAACTTAATGTTTGATTAGTAATATGCATTGCTAAGAACTTCATTTGGACAACTTGCTACATGTTATTATATATAAATATATAAAATATCACTTGGTTTGGTGCTCCAGGGTCACAAATGTTGAAATGAACTAACATGATTAAATCCTGTGAAATACATTTTATTTCAGATAGTTGCTGCTTATTTTATTTCTCTATTTATCTTCAATTTGTCATTTCAGTTTAGTTTGTTTTTAGTTTAGTTTTTTCATTAGAAAAGCGAAATTACATTTTAAATCACTGGTTTTTATTACGTATTTTATCACTAATTTTATCGTCTTTCCTAAAACATTTTTTAAATCAAACGCTGCAACACGATGAAATTTAACCCTTTGTTTCTTCTTATATGTGATATATCCCTGATGTATTTTATGCGAGACACAAAACATTTAGCAAAACGTTTCCAAATCCAGTAGCAACTACATTAGTGCTCAAATGTTTCTGAAAGAAGTCTCTTCTGCTCACCAAGGCTGTGTTTATTTGATCAAAAATACTGTAAAAATTGTGTAATATTATTAAAATGTAAAACAGCTGTGTTCTCTGTGAATCTCTGTTAAACTGTAATGTATTTCTGTGATGCGCAGCTGTATTTTCAGCATCATTCCTCCAGTCTTCAGTGTCACATGATCTTCAGAAATCAGTATAATATGCTGATCTGCACATTTCTGATTGTTATCAATGTTGAAAACATAAATATTTAGATGCATTTTATTTCTAAGGATTCACAGCGCTGACGAGAAACAGAAGTCTAGTGTGTGTGAAGCAGGAATGCGTTGTAATGTGCTAGCGCTCTCTGCTGGATGAGTGTAGCAGCGTCACCTGGTTGATGAAGAGGTCGAGGCAGCGGCAGTGGACGGCGTTCAGCAGCGTCGCGGCCTCCACCTGTTGGCTCTGCAGCAGCTGTCGAGTGAAGGGCCCCAGCACACGCTGCAGACGCTCCAGACTCTCTCCCACAATGCTCTGCGTCTGTGCCGGAGCCCCGCAGGCGCAGTTTCCCGCCGCTCCGCCCACGAGCTCCAGAGACAGCAGCTGCCTGTAGAGGGCGCCGGGGGACGGCTCGGGGTCCGAGGGGCCGCTGGGGGCCCGGACGAAGCAGACGGGGAACGGCAGCGTCTCGTGCACCTTCTGCAGGTCGCTCACCTGCTCGGCGCTCAGCGAGTCCTTACTGACGGCGTAGAGGATGATGGGAAGGATGCCGCGCCTGCAGTCCTCCAGAGCCTCCTCCACTGGCTGCACGCCGCGGCACGGGAGCACCATGATCTTCACCTCCTGGACACAACACACGCCATTAGCTCATTACAGTTATGTTACATATCGATGCATGTTTCAAGTAATATAATACATGCATATTAATATATTCAAATGTTTATTCATGCAAATTGTTACACTGCTTTTTGTTTTAATCATACTTTTTTTCTGTCATAATTGAAAGGATATTTTCTTCTTTTGTAAATATTCAGTATTCAAATATGAAAAAGAAATCAGTGATTAAAAATGTAATTACAATATTATACTAAAATGGTCAATTAAATGTAATAAATTACATTTTAACATTTGGTCAATTAAATTTGGTCAACATTTCTGTACATTAAGACATAATTTGTCAACTAAAATTAGTGTAAAACTGCCTAAAAATGAATAAATATGACCTGATATGATGTTTTCACATGTTGGATTTTGTTTTGACACATGATAAAAAATTAAAAAAATTATATTAACATACATATAAAAAATATAAAAATATATATTAAAATATGTTTAAATGTTTGGTCAATTAAATGGCCAACATGCTCCGCAATTAAAATAATGTTGATGAATGAATGGCATGACAAAATATTTGCAAAAGAACAAAATATCCTTTTAATTATGACAAAACAAAGTATGACTAAAACAAAAAACAGTGTAAAAATTTGCTTAAATAAAATTGCGTTAAAACGTCAAAAAAGTACTTTATGTGTTTTAGACAATATATTTCCAGACACTTTTGCTTACTGGATAAAGATTTTTTGGATAAAGTCTTTTTGCAGAGATTTATTAAAATGCCATTGCATATTAGAAAGCAATATATTAATTACAGACATTTCTGATTTCTTTTGGCTTAGGCCTGGAAGTCAGACTCGAGCGTGGGAACCCTGAACGCAGTGTGAAATCAGGCTTGTGTCGGTGAGAAGCGTTTCTCCTGATAAAGCAGTGTGTTCCTCTGGGAATCTGTTCAAGAAATATTAGACACGGCGGGTCAAAGTTCAACTGTATGGTTAATCCGCAGCGGGCGCGTCAGAGAGAGAATAAAGAGCGCTAGCACACAAGCACAATAGAGTCAGTCAGCGCCGTCTCTGACACAACAGCCATAGAGCGCTCGAGTCTCTCTGGAACAAAGATGGCCTGCAAACACAGCCGCCGGAGCCCATCAGACCTGAGCCCAACAAAGATCTGATTCAAACACCTCAAACATGCCAGCCGCGCATGTGTGCGTGTGCTTTAGCAGGAATTTCACTGCCCACCGTCAGCGTACACTCTGGGATCCGCGCTAATTAACGTCTCTGTCCTAACGTGTGTGCACGGATCGAAAACAGACGGGGTTCATTTGAGAGCAGACGTGATTCTAGCAGATGTGTGCGTGACGGCAAACACTTAAACCGCAAGAGAGAATCATGCAGAAAAACCTGACTGAGACAAACACACTGTTTGAGTCTGATCCGAGACCTCCATCTGAGTCTGTAACTGGTCCAAAACTGAGTCTGACTTAGTCTAAAGTGATCTGAGTCTGATTTTAGGCTGATCTGATTTAGTCTTAAGTGATCTGTGTCTGATTTGAGGCTGATCTGACTTAGTCTAAAGTGATCTGAGTCCGATTTGAGGCTGATCTGATTTAGTCTAAAGTGATCTGAGTCTGATTTGAGGCTGATCTGATTTAGTCTAAAGTGATCTGTGTCTGATTTGAGGCTGATCTGACTTAGTCTAAAGTGATCTGAGTCCAATTTGAGGCTGATCTGATTTAGTCTAAAGTGATCTGAGTCTGATTTGAGGCTGATCTGATTTAGTCTAAAGTGATCTGTGTCTGATTTGAGGCTGATCTGACTTAGTCTAAAGTGATCTGTGTCTGATTTGAAGCTGATCTGACTTAGACTAAAGTGATCTGAGGCTGATTTGATTTAGACTAAAGTGATCTGAGTCTGATTTGAGGCTGATCTGGCTTAGACTAAAGTGATCCGAGTCTGATCTGATTTAGACTAAAGTGATCTGAGTCTGATTTGAGGCTGATCTGATTTAGTCTAAAGTGATCCGAGTCTGATTTGAGGCTGATCTGACTTTGACTAAAGTAATCCGAGTCTGATTTGCAACCAAATCCAGACCTTAATGAGTCTGACGCAAAACTGGTCTGACTCTGATTTAAGGCCCATTTGAGGTTGAGTCTGATTCAAGATAGATCTGAAACTAATCTGAGCAGGATCAGAGTTTAATCTATGATTTGACAGTTTGATACCAGACTGATCTGAGTGTTTTTAGACTAACGGGAATCTTTGATTTGTAACAGATCTAAAACTGTCTGATTTGCAACCTATTTAAGACTTTAATGAGTCTGACAAGAAACTGATTTGACTCTGATTTGAGTTCCATCCAAGGCCTAGTCTGATTCAAGACAAATTAAAACACAATTTGATCTGAATTCTGATTGGAGTCCCATCTGAGGTTTAGTCTGATTCAAGACAGATCTGAAACTAATCTGAGTCGGAGAGTCTGATCTCACACTGATCTAAGTCTGATTTGACACTAATCTTAGACAAACTGAAGCCTGATTTGCATCTGATCCAAGACCTAATAAGTCTGACGCAAAACTGATTTGACTTTGATAGCAGACTGAGTGCTTTAGGCTGATCAGAATCTGATCCAATCTGATCCACGGCTGAGTCTGATTTGTGACTGATTTGAGGCTGATCTGATTTAGTCTAAAGTGATCTGTGTCTGATTTGAGGCTGATCTGACTTAGTCTAAAGTGATCTGTGTCTGATTTGAAGCTGATCTGACTTAGACTAAAGTGATCTGAGGCTGATTTGATTTAGACTAAAGTGATCTGAGTCTGATTTGAGGCTGATCTGGCTTAGACTAAAGTGATCCGAGTCTGATCTGATTTAGACTAAAGTGATCTGAGTCTGATTTGAGGCTGATCTGACTTAGACTAAAGTGATCTGAGTCTGATTTGAGGCTGATCTGATTTAGTCTAAAGTGATCCGAGTCTGATTTGAGGCTGATCTGACTTTGACTAAAGTAATCCGAGTCTGATTTGCAACCAAATCCAGACCTTAATGAGTCTGACGCAAAACTGGTCTGACTCTGATTTAAGGCCCATTTGAGGTTGAGTCTGATTCAAGATAGATCTGAAACTAATCTGAGCAGGATCAGAGTTTAATCTATGATTTGACAGTTTGATACCAGACTGATCTGAGTGTTTTTAGACTAACGGGAATCTTTGATTTGTAACAGATCTAAAACTGTCTGATTTGCAACCTATTTAAGACTTTAATGAGTCTGACAAGAAACTGATTTGACTCTGATTTGAGTTCCATCCAAGGCCTAGTCTGATTCAAGACAAATTAAAACACAATTTGATCTGAATTCTGATTGGAGTCCCATCTGAGGTTTAGTCTGATTCAAGACAGATCTGAAACTAATCTGAGTCGGAGAGTCTGATCTCACACTGATCTAAGTCTGATTTGACACTAATCTTAGACAAACTGAAGCCTGATTTGCATCTGATCCAAGACCTAATAAGTCTGACGCAAAACTGATTTGACTTTGATAGCAGACTGAGTGCTTTAGGCTGATCAGAATCTGATCCAATCTGATCCACGGCTGAGTCTGATTTGTGACTGATTCAAGAGCTTGGTATGACTTATTTGTAGTCTCATCCAAATTTAAAATAGATCTGATCTGAGTCAGTTATGACACTGAACTAAAACTGACCAGAGTTTGAAAGCGTTTGTTTAGAGTGTGATTAGACTAATCAGAGTCTAATTTGAGTCTGATCTAAGAGATCTGAACCCAATTCAAACTCTTTTCAGTCATGAAAACAAACAAACTAATGAAAGAAAGGAATCCAGCCGTGACTGAATCCAAGTATTTATAGGAGATACAGTTTTCCCGTCGCCATGGAGATGCACACATCATCATAGCAGCAACCAGTGCCCTTTTTTTCACTGGTGGTCATGTGAAGTGCACCAGACCCACAGAGCAGGGTTACATAAACACCAGGAAAGGAGAGAAGAGAAACTGATTGATGTTCCTGCAAAAACAAACTCATCTCACAGAATCAAATCCCATTTGTTTTTGTTTTTGAGAGAAACGATGCGAGCTCCGCCGCCCCTGACCTGCAGCAGCGCGTGATGGAGCGTGATCTCCAGCTCGGCCAATCGCTGCGCGGGATCCTCGCACTCCTGGATCTCCAGATCCTCGCATGGCACCGTGTCCCAGCGTCCGCAGTGAGCCGCCAGCTGATGCACCAGCTCATACTGCCCCGGCAGCGCCAGGCTCAAGCGCGTCTGACGGCCGTGCGTGAAGCACAGCTTCCTCCTCCTGCAGGCCCCGCCCTCCGGCCCACAGGCCCCGCCCACCTCCGAGCCCAGGGGGAGGAGCCTCTCTCCCAGCAGGCAGTTGAGCAGCTGGTATCGGGCCGAACAGTCCTGGCCCAGGACGAGGATGTAGGGGGCGCTCCCGACCACATTCTGCAGATAGTCCTCCTCGTGACGCGGGAGCGAGATGCAGCTGAGCTGACCTGAGACGCAGAGAGAAACAAGGACACTGAAGTTTAACATACATCAGTCACCAGTACAAATTTCAGCACTTTTTAGCTCGGACTGGGCTTGAAAACACAACGTAAAATTGCAATATTTTTCAGCCTTTTGAGGATATTTGATATAAATCTGGATAGTTATGTATTTTGAAATGAAAATCTGAAAATCGGCTTAAAAGCGTACATTGTTTACTAAACAGTGATTGTAAACATCATTAAAGGAAGAAGCAAAATACAGTAAAAATTTAGTTTTAAATAATCATGGCAAGTTTTCACAATGTTTTTCATTAAATGTATGAAAGGAAGAATCACATTTGAACATTTGTATTCATATGTACTTATATAGCATGAAACAGCAATATTTACCTCTTTATATTTACATTTATGTATTGTTTTATATTTAATTAGCTTTTTTTATTTTCATATTTTATTTAGTAGATTTAATATAAATTTGAATATTGTTTGTAGGCTTAAAGTGTAATTTTTTCCCACTGCATTTCAACCAAACAGTAATTTTAAACGATTCAAAATCATTAAAGAAAGAAGTAAAACAAATTGGAAAAAATGTGGTTTTTAAATAATCAAGTTTTTGAAGTTTTTCATTAAATGAATGAAAGAAAGAATCATGTCTGAACATGTTTTATGTGAAATGTAGCTATTTATATTTTTACCAAAACACTTTTCTTATATTGTATTTAGTAGATTTTCCAATAAAACTGAAAGCCCACCAATCTGCTCCCAAAAAAAAGGAAAAAACTAAAACATAGTAATTCATAAAAATGTCACACAGACTTCAATAAACATTTTAGAGTTATAACGCAAACGAATCGCTGCATCACAGCTTTTAATTGATTCGCAGAATTACTAACCTGTTTTTAATATTGAAGTTTAAATCATTAAAAAAATTATGGAACTATCTTTATGAAACTTAATGAACAAATAAACAGCACATTAATCACCCAAATTTAGTTTTTGCTTAAGTTAAAATCGCCAAATCAGGGTTATTATACTTTACTAAAACTATAAAGAAAATCTTTACTTGAAATAAAATAAACTTTAACTAAAATAAAATCAAATATTTCAAATAAAAACGTTTATATTAAAAAATATTAAAAAGTCAACAATTCTATTTTTATTTAGTTTAAGATGAAATAAAGTAACTGAAACTGAAATGTAAAAATAATAATAAAAACGACGCACACAAAAATGACAAAACACAACAAAATTACAAAAAAAATGTAAATAACTCAAATCGAAAGAAAATCTGGAAAATAAATCAAAAACTCAAAATATAAATAAAAACTATAATAGTATAACGCTGCACCATATCTATATCTATATCTATATATCAGGGATATTGAATGCATCAGTGCAGTGAGAGCGTGTGCTGTGCTGGAGGAAAACAAGCGCTGCAGCAGTGTTGGGTTCGCCGTGTGTCCTGAGGCCTGCATCTCATGACCGTCTCTGAGCCGCTCACAGAGCCATTCAGGTTATTATTAGGAAGTGCTCATAATCCCAGCGCTGCTGAGTCACTGCCTTATACAACAGCCGCGCTTACAGTGTAATCTGTGCTGCACGCTAGCAGCCCACAATCATGATTCATGCTGCGCCAGAGAGATCACTAACAGCCGAACCAACACGCTTCATTTGAGCAGCAGCTGTCACCATAAAAAATAAATTCATGTTTTTAGCATTCAAAGCTGCTAATTCGCAATTAAATGGTTAGCAACAAAATGCTTCGTGCAAAAAAAACAAAAACATAAAATTGCACATATGCACACATATGTATACAGTATATGTGTGTGTGTGTGTGTAAGGTTGCTGATTTGCAATTAAACAATTAGTAAAAAACTGCGCAAAAATAATAAATAAAATTATGGGATTGTTTTGAAGCATTTAAAGTTGCTAATTTCCAATTAAAAAGTTAGCAATGGAATTGCGCAATACATTTTTTTTTTAATTATACATATATGAATGTTTAAAGTTGCTAACTCACAGTTAGGGTTGGAAAGCGGCAGAGAAATCTTGGGGAAATTTCTGGAAACTTTTTTGAAAGTTTCCTAAAAAGTTTCCAAAAATTCTGGAAAGTTTCCGGAAATGTACCAGAAATGTTCTGCCTCTATTTGCATGTAAATCTTTAGCGAAGCATAAATATATATGTTGTAGCATTCATGATTAGCAACAGAACTGTGCAAAAAAATAAATAAATACAATTTTCTATATAGATTCAGAGCTGTGAACATTACAGCTAACATTAGACTGAACTAGCACACGCCGCAGGAATGCTGGGAAAACCATGTTGTGCATTCCCAGCACCAAAGACCTGAAGGCATGGTTTACAGCAGATTGATGAAGCGATGAAGCGCATGAGTGCAGACTGTGATCATGAGCTCCTGCACGACCTGTGTTTACACGCGGCTCAAGAGGGCGTGGCCAGAGCGGCCTGCGCTGTGATTGGTCAAAACAAGCCCGAGCGCAAGACGAGCTCTGACAGGCCTGAGGAACGGGACGTGCATCAGTATAAATCACAGCCCACAGAAACACACAAACATACGTGTGGGCTCCAGGGAAAGCGCAGGGGTCAGACGGGTGAGACGGGTCAAAGGTCGCGGTGTGAGACGTCAGCGAGTCTGAGATGAGACCGAGCGCTGCTTCAGTCTCTTTAAAGGGATCCTATTATGCTCTTTTACAAAGTCTTGATTTTGTTTTGGGGGTGTACTAGAACAGGCTCTCATACTAGGTTGTTCAAAAAACATTATTTTCCACATATTTTTCATTATTACAACACCTCTCTCCCCAGTCTGGCATGAACGGCTCGAATAGTTCCTGTATCAAATGAAGGAAATATGAAATGTGCTGTGATTGGTCAGCTGGGCCGGCGTGTGCTGTGATTGGTCAGCTGGGCCGGCGTGTGCTGTGATTGGTCAGCTGGGCCGGCGTGTGCTGTGATTGGTCAGCTGGGCCGGCGTGTGCTGTGATTGGTCAGCTGGGCCGGCGTGTGCTGTGATTGGTCAGCTGGGCCGGCGTGTGCTGTGATTGGTCAGCTGGGCCGGCGTGTGCTGTGATTGGTCAGCTGGGCCGGCGTGTGCTGTGATTGGTCAGCTGGGCCGGCGTGTGCTGTGATTGGTCAGTGTGTTGTGTGGGCCTTGGGAAAGCTAGCGTGTCTCCGACATAGTGATAACACTCGTTGTCTTCTCTAGTGCAGCTCAACCAGGTCTCGTCCCATTCGTTGATCTTTGTGATATCACAAATCCCGGAAAATATGCGTTGTAGTCCAAACGAGTCGTTCGTTGTAGTTTTTAAAAAGTGATTTCTGTTAGATAAAATATCTCCTTTTGAAGTGGACTTTGAGCTTTGTAACTTAGCAGATCTTTTTTATGCTCAAACAGCAACATTACAGACTAACTAAAGTTGAAAAAGTAAAAAAAAAGCATAATAGGACTCCTTTAAAGCACACTCAATGATTTCATTGAGAAACCAGAGGAAGCTTGCGTCAGACGAGCAAAACTCCTTTATTACAGGAAAGAGGACAACAACCGCACCTACACACACTCTCTCACACACACACACACACACTCACTCTCTCACACACACACACACACTCACTCTCTCACACACACACACACACTCACTCTCTCTCTCTC